TACCGACCCTTACGCACGTCTAGGCCTCACGTACGAGAGGGTGAAACTTTTGGCGTGAAAATAGCTAACTCAGGAACCAGAAAAGCTAGAAAGCTGGAATTTTGAGGTTATGTTCCCCACCCACATATAACTCAATTTTCAGGTTCAGCCCCCACCTGTTCGTGGTCCCCGCGTTTGGCCTCGTGAGGGTTTCTGGCGCGAAAATCGCTAACCTGGGAAGCAAGAGAGCCAGGAGGGTGAAATTTTCAGGGGATGTTCCCAGTACATATACAACATAAAATCCCCAGGCATACGTGGTTATCACATATGGCCCCGTGAAATTTTTTGGCGGGAAAGTGGCTAACTCGGAAAATAGGAAAGCTGGGAGCAGAAATTTTGAGGGTGTACTCCCAGCCTCCGTAAAAGTTAGAGATATCAGTTTAGCTCCCAGATACGTGTGGTTCTCATGTACGGATTCATGAAATTTTTTGACAAGAAAATTGCTGACTTAAGAACCGGAGAAGTTGGAAAGCTGAAGTTTTAGCGGAATGTTCCCTGTTCAAGTACCACGTAGACAATCAACTTCACGAACTTCGAGGACCAGTATGTCACAAATCCTAGCTACTAGGTTCCTGAGCGATCTCATTACAGCATGAAATACTGCAAAAACGCATGATCGCACGGGCCCGCCTGGTGTGCGTTGCCAATGATTTTTGATGTTGCCGCTGAGAGTTGCCGTCCGAGTTCCGCGCTAACGTGCAAGGTGCGCACAATATGTTTTGTGGTAAATTACGGAACAAAACTGCCTTTTCGCTGAAAACTGTAAGATCTTCGGAAAAATGTTCCATTCGTTAAGTTGAATTTTGTGTTTTTCTGGAAAGCAACTATGACAGTTGATAACTTTTGCCTGAAATATGATAAAGAATTTTAAATCTGTCAACCTGTTTTGCATGCTCGGTAATTTCCTTAATTTCCACAGGATCAGCAGCCAAGAATTGTTCACGCACTTCTTTTAAGGTTTCAAGATCATCCTCGTCCATGCATGCCAGCTGTTCATCATTTGCGTCACCATTTTTTGTTCCAATTGCCATTTCAGATAACTGCAGAAGTCCTAATTTAAGTCACTTTTTTGATTTACTAGTACCGTAGTTACAATACAGGCCATTGAATCCGGTGGGAAACTTTCTTGCAAAAAAAAAAGCACGGGAAACTAAAACGTTAAAAAAACCGATTACTTCAAATGTAGTAAATCGGTTTTTTTAGCGTTTTAGTTTTCCGTGCGCTGAAAGTAGTAGTAAACTGCTTTCAGCGTGGTAAAATATCAGCAAACATCCACGGTGATAACCAGTGTCCTTCCTCGTTCACCTTTCGTCCCGACTAAAAACAACTCATGAAGCGGCCACAAAACAGTATTTTCGATTAATCTGATTTGAAAACTTTCGTGTGGAAAAATTTTTATAAATCTCGAATAAACTGGCAGATAAACTGCACTTTAACCTGCCTTCAAGACGCTCGGCAAAAAAATCAAATTTAAGCAAGTTCATGATGTTTCAAAGCGTTCAGTTTTACTTGTCTGTTCCAGTAAATGATTCTCTAAAGCAATATCATGGATCAGAGTCGATAACAAGTAAGGATGAAACAAAGGACGGGCAAGGGACTGAGAACGAAGAGCGGCGGAAGGAGTCCTGACTGAGGTGAGGTAAAAAAATTATACGAAGCGTTAAAATCCGGATAAAAGGTAAAATTCATTAG